CCCCTTTTTTTTTTTCCCATCCCCCACGATGAGGCGGAGGGGGAGCGGGGAGCAGGACGGGGAGGGAAGAGGAGAATGAGGGAAGCCGGGTAAAAGGGCGTAGACAAGAATCAGAGGTCAACCAAATGATGGAAGACACAGCAACGATTTGCAAAAAACGCAGAATATCAAATGCAGAAATCCAAGAAAGCAAATTTTTCGTCAAAACATTAAAACCATGTTAGATTTGAGGGGAAGGAGAGACAGAGAGAGCGGGAGGAGGGAGAAAAAGATCCCATCTGTAATGAGGCGAGTACCAAAACTGATTTACCCATCACTTCATCTGTCTTTGTCGGAAGCGAAGCAGGCCACTGGCATTAGAGGACAAGCAGATATGAAACTCATGGAAGAAACAGGCATGGAAAATCAGTTTAATTTGCACTAGAATTATCAAACTGAGCAAATAAGATAAATTACTTGGAAGAAATTCACGTTTCTTGTACAGAGCTTTTAAAAGTGGGCAAAAAACAAGTGCGCCAAAGGACGCTGTATCTCTAAGTTAGGAGGTGTTAAAATTATCAAAAAAACGGTCAAATCGGTCAGGTCGCTTCATGATCTGTTCATCGGTATATTCTTCGAAATTCTACATCTTGGTATTCATGTTAAACGATCCAGGAAACGCCAAATTTGTCAGGTTTAGTCCAGAATTTCGACTAACTCTCCGACCCAGAAACTCGACAGAATCTCAGACTTCCCCGCAAATTTTTCCGAACCCCCGTCCTGTTTAAGCAAAAACAATTGGATGTCGAAAAAAAAATGGGCCAGGAAAGGTCAATCTGTGAGTTTCGTGAGGAACTCACATCCTACTTTTACTCCAAAAAATCACAAAATGGACTGAAAATTTTGACCGATGCGTAATCCTAAATTCTTATCAATTTTCGGGGAAATCATGAGTGAACCCGTCCTTTTTTCTTTTTTCTGCAAATTCTGAAAAAACCTGGAATCTTGAGTCAGGAGTGAGCTCGATTTCATCTTTTTTAGCATTTTTTTTCCAGAGATACAGATGATTATTATTCACTGGCGATTATAATTATGCAATAGATGAGCAGAGAAGGGCAGAAAAAAGGTTGAAGCTAGCCTAGAGATAAAGTGAAAATGAACTTGACTAGCACCAATTATTCAATGAAAAGTTACCTGCTGTGATATTCACAATATGACGTTCACAACATAATGGACTGAAACGTCTTATCTCATATTTTAGCCTCTTGATTCTCTCAGCTTTCCTTGTCTTCATCTTTTCCTCACCTGTTTGGGTTCTATTGCAGTATCTTGCATGTAAGTAGGTAAGTAATTAGCTTTTTTTCTGTCCAAATCGAAACATGGAACGTAGAAAAATTTGCTGTTCTATATCGATCGAGACAAAATTCTCTCCGCATTCATCCTGTCTGAAGAGAGAAGCACACTAGCTCGAGTGGTAGCAAATGCCAACAGTAACTACCCGACAGTAAGACTCCCAGTCCTTATAAGGAAGCTACTGGTGAATCATTATTTGCTAAGCAAATTCGACTTCGGTTATTTGCTGAGCAAATAACATTTTGAATTCAGTTGTATGCCGGGCAAATAAATTTCAGACCTAATTAATTGTTCGGCTAATGAATTTCGGGTTTAAGTATTTGTCGAGCTAAAAATTTTTGAATCCAATTCTTTTACTAAGCAATTCCCTACCGCAGAACGTACTCCGTGATCAAAATGGGATAAATATGCCAAAGAAATCGTCATAAGACCGGGGATGCGATGAATAGAAAGCGTCAAGCACCAGTTC